TATGTCTTTGTCATGTATTCTCAAATGTGGAAAGTTTACTGTTAAGATTTTGTAAAATGGTACTGTGGTGGTATTGCAAATCTATGATAACATCTTATTTATGTCCTACAGTTATTTTATTCTTTCTCAACTTGTTACTAGGTTTATAACTTTTGGATAAATTTTGTTTCCTTGCAATGTTAAAATTGTCAGACTGCAGTTTGTGCTTTGGTTTTATGGTTAGATTTACTTGGAAATTTTGTTACATATCTTGCATCATGTAAATTGGTTTTCTTTTACTGATTGCCTGAACAACAATCAACAAAATGATCAATCATATATTCCACGTTAATTTCTTTTTCCAGTTTCTTTGATTGAATAAACAAAAGTAAATTAAGAAGTTTTAGTTTTCTAATTTCATCGTAACTAATTTCAATTGATGTGGAGAGCTAAAATGCAGAGTTTGCAATTATTTGCAGTTTCTATTTCAAGACTTTTTAGCGATGGGTTGAAGCAAGAAAAAAAACTATTTACAACAACGAAGCAAGAAAAAACAAGCAAAGACTATGCAACATTAACGAAGCAAAAAAAAATTTATCTCTGGCTCAACATCAACCTGTTTTAAATAATTGCTGGCGCATGGAAAATATAAAGCTAGTAGATTTAGCTTCTTGATACGGACTTGTAATACAGTGTAGACCCCATATTGTTATAATTATAATACGACTGCCCTCGGCAATTTGCAATGTTGATTCCGTGTATCTCCAATGTCTTTTTGACGAATTTAAAACCGTCATTGGAATGAATGATAAAAAATATTCCACTGGTTTTCCATCAGATGTAATTCATAATAAACAATGAAAGCAAGTTAATCTACGTGCGAAATATCTGGTTGTTAATCAACGATGAATATCACTTGGCAGCTTTAAGTTTAATAACTACAGGAAAAGATTTTACCTATAAAAAAATTTAATTTTTAACTTGTCAACTGCGGCGTCCCTATGAGTTGAGGGGGGGACTTTAATTGTCAGTCGGCAAATTTCGCTAATCAAGGATTTTTTTTTGTTTAGTTAAATATAATCTACGTAACAATAACATTCTAAAAAAAAACTAATTGCAAAAATAAACATGCTCGATTTTGTATATTTTATTGTGGACTTTTTTTGGAATGAAATAGTACTGGCTAGTTTTGTTTTTCAACTCGTTTAACTTTTATTGCGAGTTTTCTCTTTACTTTACAAAGTCTTTCTTTACAAATGATGATATACTTAAGGATTACAAATTTTTGGTATTTATTTATTTTATGTTCTTATTGTAGACAATAGAATTTTATATTGTAAAGGACTTCGTGATAAGGTCATTATGATATTCTTGAAGTCGTGCCCGTACTATATTATAAATCATAAATTTTATTGTAAATAATATTAAACAGTAAATAAAATAAATAAAAATATATCTTAAAAAAAAAGAATTTGGTATACACACAATACATATTTAATTTTCTTTTTCACTCTGAAACTGTTAACAGTTGCAATCAATCCTGGAGCTGCATTCATATTAATTAGCAAAGATAAAAATGGCATTATTATGTTCTACAGATTACTCAATCTTGCTAAATGCCTTATACGACTTTCCAGTTGCGAAATTCACCTTCGCTCTCTAGACAACCCTTAGGTTTCACAAAAAAAAAAAAAGCAAATTTACACTTTTACAAATAAAATAAACACTACCACTGTCAAAATATATCCGCCAATTGCGTTATTATTATTTTTTTTATTCTGCTGTTTGTATTTTGTTTGTTTGTTTGTTTGTTTGTTTCGTAATTCGTATTCACAAGTTGGTCATTCTCCTTTATTGTGCTATTAGATATTTTCTTGTTAGGCTCCTCTAAGTTTTTTTACTTGATCACTTCTGACTTCTTTAATTTTCTTGTTCAATTTTTTTTTCCTTCTATAAGTTCTGATGCTATTTTCACAAATGATTTCATTTATAAAAATTATTAATCCTTCTCTCTACCTTGAAACACAATGCAAAAAATGCAGCAGCAATTTTTTTTTTTTTGCACATGCATATAAAAAAATTAATTGAGATGTTTTTTTTATTAATTTTTAAAAAAAATTCTATTTAAGATTTGAAGTTTAGAATAAATAATTCATTTTAAGAATGTTTTTTTTATTTAAATTGAATTCTGGCCGTCTCCATTCAGAATAAGATTTATTAAAGAATAAACTCTGGATAAAATTTATTAATTCGTAGTTTTAATTATTTTTTGTATCTTTTAAATGTTATTAACAAGGTGGAATGAAAGAAACGTTGTTTTTATCTATATATAAATAATGATATATTTTGAATAATTTATGAGTTACTTTATATAAGCGAAGCATTTATAAAAAGTAATAGCATAATGACCGCTATAAAACAGAATAATACGTTTTAATAAATCGTTGTAACTACGTCATCTTAAATATCTGTTTGAAATGTTTTTATATGAATGATTTATTTAACTTTATTTCGATTTATTTTAATTAGAGTATACTTGTCGTTTAATTATACCACGTTCCTTAATCAGTATTTGATAATCAAAATGACGCGACACGCTCTATTGCCAATGCGTCATAATTGGTTATCGATAATCTGTTGGGATTCAAACGTTTAGTGGTAATCAAATTTTCCTATACATTTTTTTTTTTTTTTTTTGCAAGTAAAATTTTTATGATAACAAAATGTTTGCAACGTGCGTCATGACAAAAAGAACACAGCTCGTACTGATTGAAATGAAATTTCGAGACACGTACTAATTAAAATGAAATTTCGAGAGCTGACAAACAAAGTTAACTAGCAATTTCATTTTATAACTACTCGTTTTATGCTATCTTTTAGTTTATATCTATTATACAACTGTTGTGCGAAATAAGTTACAATATAAAGAAGTTTATATTAGTAAAAAATGGCGAGATAATGAATTACGCACCAAAAGTAACAGTTAGACTAAGGAGGGCTAAGGGGACTATAACCCTAGGCCGCGGTGTTTTGGGGGCCCCGATTTTAAGTAATGTGTAGCCCTCGTGTAGTGATTAGAGTTCTAACTCAGAACCAAGAGGTCCGAGGTACTGCCTACTCTAGTTCAAAATGCCGCCTTCCTTATCAATGTCGCATTAAAAAGAAAGGAAACTTGAACTTCTATGTTAAATGCTCTTCCACGGTGCACTGTGATAAGACCGTAAGAATACTCTTTTAAAGGGAGCACCTTTAAAAAACAAAAAATGGTTGCTTTAAATAAAACTCTTAAAATAAAATCTTTGATTTATAACATGGAAAGGAACCTCTTGCTTTAAAATAGCCTCGGGCTCCAAAAAATTATAATTCGTCACTAAGAAGTACTTATTTTAAACTACGTTGCACTTTGTTGTTAATTTTATGATAACCCTGTTTTGCTACAATGTTGCAGGTTACTCGACTGTATTACGTACCCAATTACTTGCATAAGTTAAGTTACAAATAGAACTTTAAACGGCTAATTATAATAAAAATTCGAATAAAAATAATATACACAATGTTAAATCTTAGATGGTTTTTTAGGCCCCAATCTTTTTAATTTTCCTCTATAATAAGCCATGCGTTAAAATTTCATTAGCTTCTTAAACCTCCTGCAATACTTTTGATTTCTGTAGAGATACGCCTTGATTTACATAACAGTTAAAAAACAATATACAAAGATGATGTGACATCTTTGTAAGTAAATCAAGCCATATCTCTACAGCATCTGGAAGTGTTATATTATCTGTTTTCCTGACAAATAATTATCTATTGATCAATATATTTCTAAATCAGTAGTAATCTTTACTTAGAGTAAAAATGTTTGCTTTAACTTATGCAATCCAAACAGTTTGCTTACATAAGCACATTAATTGAGTGCCGCATGGAATTTACTCGGACCAGCATACGAAAATTGACGTATGCTGGTCCGAGTAAATTCCATGCGGGACCAAGTATTTTTTTTTTTTTTTTACTTTAGTTCTATTTTAAATTAAAATTAAACTTCTAAAGTAAAGTTTTGATTGAATAAAGTTTTGATTTGTTTTAATAAAATTTTAAACTTGATTTTATACGTTTTTAATTTAAATTCTCAAATTTTAGTTTATAAATGAAATTTGAAAAAACAGAAGGTTTCTTTGAAACGCTAATCTGACGATACCACAAATTTACCATTTACCACAGATTTACGATTTACCAATCGTTTTCATCATTTACCTTGCTATGCGCGTTTTTTTGCTGTTATTATTTAAAAAAATCTATTTTAAAGAAATAATTGAGATATATTAAGCAAAATAAATGACTAATAAACTATAAAAAAAAACTTGGAATAAATGACATAAAAAGTGAAAAAAGCGAGACATTTTTGTTGTCAAAATAACCTCTTTGTCTTCTATTGTATATAATCTTATCTCAGATGTTGGAAAATGGATATCTGTCTCTACATACTTTTTAAATATCTAAAATTTTGAAATAAAAATTTTATTTTCACACGAGATTTCTGTTGTTTTCTCGTTGCTGTGTTTGTGTTCAAGTCATTCTTTTTTCTTTTTTTTTTTAATACAATACTTGCATGGATTAGTAGTCATAAATATATCTCGAGAATGTTTTTTACCGTCATTTTTTGAATCAACTGGGAACCAATAATAAAAAAAATATTTTAAAAATGGATACCTTTTGAGCACCCCCCTCTCTTGTTTAATTATATAGATTTTTATAATATAAATCAAAGTTGCGTTATTATAAAAAGAACTTTTTGCATTTCATTATTTATAAAAAATTCAAAAACATTCTCGAAGTTGTATGCGCCATATCTTAAGAATAGAGTTAATAAAACTTATTTTAACCGATTTAGTCTTTAACGATTTCATTTGTGTTTAAAATTAGATTATATTGTTGTTATTTTTCTATTGCATTCCAGATGTTTTGTACATTCTTTGGGGACATAATCCTCTTTGACAAAAAAATGTTGTCTAAGAAAACAGCAATAACAAAGTAAAAGAATTTTCTTCAAAAAAAAATTCAATAGTGCGTATTATTATTTACAGGCATACATTGTGTTCTCTTTAAATATTTTTGAAAACCGTCGTGACAGGATTAAAATGATAATTGATTACGTCTTTTAGCTATCATTCTCTATGTTGTTATTTTTTATCTCGATATTATTATTTTTCAAGTTGATTCTTAAAACTTCTCCCTGTGTAAACTCATACTCTTCCAAAATTCGTGACATTTTCTTTGCAGCATCTAAAGGTGTTTCAAGCGTACCCTGGTCTATCGATTGTTGAATCGACTCGCATAAATCTTTGTTTGGGCATTCCTCCACAATTTTTCTGCATCTTTTTGTATCAAGAAGATTTGGTGTGAAATAGAGAACGCGTATTGTTGGATTTTCTTTTGCAAAGGTTTGTCCAAACATATCAAATGCACTAGTGGCAATGTTTGACAATCCCATGTATTCGGATGCTGTTGTACTTTCCGTCCGAGCTGTATGAACAACGGTTTTCTTTGAAAAAGGAAACAGTTTACAAATTTGGGTGGTAAGGTATATGCGTGAAGTAATGTTTAGGCGCCAATATTCTTCTAACTCTTCAAGGTTTTCATTTTCCATTAATGTTTGGGATATATTTCCTAGAGTTGAGGTATTGTTTACAAAAACTATATGTTCATAATCTTGATCGTTTTTGGCTACCAAATCGTTCAAAAAGTTTTTTGTTTCCGTTAAGTTCATCAAATCAATACATTCTAAAACAACATCTATTTTTCTGTGCTTTAAAAACTGCCTCATCTTTTTCCCAGAAGTTTCATTAAGTGCGTCCATATCTTTGTCAACCATAATAACTTTAGATCCTGAGAATGCTTGTGCGAATATTCCTTGGTCTTGAAATGCTAACCCAGCTATAGATCTTCCTAACCCATGTCCAGCTCCCGTAACTATTACTAAAAATTTTCCTTTAATTAAACGAATTTTGGAAAAAGATTTTTTTCTTAACTGACTCCAGTTGAATGATGGTTTCGATATACCATCACCAATCGTATTTGATGAATTTATTGAACCTCGTCGATCCATTATCTTCACCTCTGTAGATTTTTTTTCAATTGGTTCGTTTCCAGAAAATTTACTTTCAGACATTATTTCTTTAGATTTCTGATTTAAAAAATCTTCCTGCTTTCTCTTTTTATTTATATTAAGTTTTTATAAACTTCCTTCTTTTTTCTTCTTTTTTCATACGTAAATTAAAAAAAGTAAACTTTATAAACTTCCTTCTTTTTTCGCAATCATACGTACAAAAAACAGACAGTTTTGTTTATGGAGACTTTTAGCCGATCTTGTAGTTCCGCACTATTTCTTGCCTAATCTTTAATTAATAGCCTTATTCAAGTTATGCTTCATAAACTACCAATATAATGTATAACCCCCTGTTTAGTTATTATGCTTTGTATATCTTTAGCAATCTATCAACAAATATAAAATATTTTCAAACATTTTTCTTATTGCAATAAAAGGAAAGATATAAAATAAGTATTTATACTCCTTAACTTTCGGTTAAAGAGAGAACAAGTTAAAGATAATAAAACCGAGTTTTAATTTTTTTTTATGCTTTTTAATGTTATACTTTTTTCAATTTATCAGTTATATTTTCTCTAACTCGAATTATTTTCATCAGTAATTAAATTTCATACACTTGTGCCATCAATGTATGAGATAATATAACGGATAAAACCTCTTTCTGCTAAATGAATCGAACAGCCGCAGGGTCTATGAAATCACAAATTTAAAATAAAATTATTTTTTATCTTCAATTTTTTTGAAAAAGAAAAATATGATGCTCTTCTATTTCTGATTTACAAGAAGCTAAAATACAGACCATAACGTGATTTAACGAGTTGAACGAGTTAAACCTCGCGAGAATTTATGTGAAACTGTAAATAAAAAATATATATATTTTGTCACATTGTTGTCACAATGCTGAAGTTATGTGTTGCATAGCAATGTTGCATCATTGAAAGATATTTTTAAACAAAGAACCTGTTGGTTAAAGGTCAAGTTGGTTAAATAACCGCTTTGATACCAATACATCTCAAAATGTGGTAATTTAACCAACTTTATTAACACTTGTTTTCAACTTTTTTTTTCATCACGGCTGCGTCTGTGTCAAATGTTACTAAACTTGCTGTAAACTTAGTTTCAAATGTACTTAGTTGCTGTAAAAATTCAAATGTACTTACTTACTGCTTTAAATGTACTATACTTGCTGTAATCCTAGATCTCATTAGCACTTCCTTAATTAATGAAAAATTTGGAGTAACTTTAGTACTTTATTCATTTGAAAATGGCGTTCCACACAGAAGACCACGTAATACAAGTGAAATAAATGGAAATATATAGCATTAAAAACTAAACTATAAAATAGTTTGTAAACCATTTAGATAATAGACAAAAATGTGGTACTATAGATAACTATAACAATTTTAAATAGCTAAAAATCAAATGTGGGGTCTCTCAGTGATCTTTTCTGGTTTCTCTTCTATTTTTAGTTTAAATTAACGACCTTCCTAAAGTCTCGTCAAAGTTAAATTGCATAATTTTAAAGATAACACTAATTTTTTTTATTCTTCTAGCTCAATCAGTGACCTTTTTATAACCGTAAAATTAGAACTTATAAAACTTAACACATGGTTCGGAGCTAACAAGTTGTCATTAAATTCAAACAAAACTAAATACATTTTATTTTATTCCAAACAAAAAAAAGCTTTCCTATTAATTTTACTAATTCATAGTATAGACAACAGATCTACATTATAAAGCATTCTATCATTAAAATTTTTATTTTCCCTTTATACACAGCTATCTATCATGCGTCAATATAACATGGGTAAATACCCATAAAACTAAATTTAGTTCTTTCTATAGACAGCAGAAGCTCGCTTCTAGAGTTATATTTTATAAAGGTAAGCTCACCCATGCAAATCCATTTTAAAACAAATGATTGCCTTAAGCATTTACCTAATCAATATATATCAAAATATATTGTTTATATTCAAACATAAAATGGGAACTGTTCCAAGTCGAGTTATAAATAACGTTTTTAAAACTAATAAAAATAAATCGAGCACTAGAGCAACTGGAAACTATATAGTACCCTTGAAAAATACAAAAATTATCCTATTCTCTATAGCATTTCAAGGTCCTTACCTGTATAACAAATTAATTCCAAAAAATTCCAGTTTCTCTTCTGAAAAATATAAACTTTTTAAAAACTAATCTTCAAAAACTCATTTTGGATAAAAGCAATAATATGGAAATTTGGATAAAAGTAATAATATGGAAATTTGGATAAAAGCAATAATATGGAAATTTCTAGTATCTAAGGATTAATTAAAAAATCAAAAACTTTAAAATAAAAGCAAGTATGTTTAAAATTATTGAAAAGTATGTCAAGTCATGAATAAAAAAATTATCATGAAATTAAGAAAAAAAGGGTTCTCGATGACAATACTTCACACAGTTATCAGCGAGTTTTTATTATATTAAAAGTATTTTTGAATGTATTTGTGATAGCAGTATATATTGTTAAAACTTTCAAAAATAATGAAATTGTAAAAATACACGGGAAAAAAACAAACTTGATTTTTCAAATGTAACTTGTTACGCAATAATTAATAGAAAAGAGCGAATTCGTCAACATTTAATTTTTTAAAGTGAGTACTGAGACAGAATCGTAAACAGTGCTTAACTTTTTCTTACCAGAATTGGATTCAAAAAATATACCATACTTACAGAAATAAAAACAAATGATTAGACTGTATTGACTAAGAAAGACTCGTTATTATTTTTTAAATGCCGACAACAACAAAAAATAGCTATGAATTAATCGTATATATAAAGCCGTTAATCAGAAGGATTGGTTACTATTTTGAACTGTCTTTTTGTTGACATGTTTATTTTTTTAACAAAAAAAAATAATTTCTGCTAAACCATTTTCAAAAACTCAAATTATTTTAAACTAAAAGATAGAGTTCGACGGTTTGACTAGCAAAATTCGATTCACTGAGAGAATCGACTTAAGAATCTGAAAAGTATATGCAAATTGCGTAGTTTGTCTACGTAATTTGCATATATCTTTCAAATTCTAGTGAAAGCGATTTAAATTTTAGAAAGGTAAACAAGAGTTTACTTTAGGGCATTTTACTACTACGGATTTACCTTTGGTCGAAGGCCTTCAAAATAGGGAAATTCAAAGACATTGCACTGTATAATTCAGTAAGCGTGAATTATACAGTACAATGTATAATTCAGTAAGCGTGAGCCAGTGACTTGAAACTTTCGAAAAACTAATTTTTTACATAAAAATAGACTTGCTTTTTAGTTTTATGACACCAGTGAAATTTTATTTTAAAACATACCCAACCTGATGTTCATATAATTTTTATTCATGATATTTGTATAATTTATTGATATAATAATTTTTTCTATTTTTTACCACAAAAATAAAAAAATTTATTGATATAATAAATTTTTCTATTTTCGTGGTAATAAACGTTTTAATTTTAATTTTATTAAATTCATTAATTACATTTAATCTGTTCGTGAATGTGTTTGTTATTGTATTTGCAATTGAAAGTATAACTTATCGGAGTCGTGAAGTATGTATCATTTACGTAAATATTGTAATATTCGATAATTAAGTATTATAAAATATGCATCTATAAATATGCGCAGACTTTTAATATGATAATAATGGATTTACCTAGTAATTCATCCAAAGGAGATGTATTGTAGTAAATAAACTTTATTTAATATATGACGCCAAATTAATTTTTTTTTTTTAAATTGCATTTTGTTAAATAAAATGCTCTAAGAGTAAAGAAATTTATAATAAATTCAATTCTTATTCATAAAATTGCTTGTATTAACATGATTTCGGAAGTGATGTTTAGCTCTTTAATTTTGTATACTTTTAGTAAACTTTTCAAATTATAACTTTTCAAATATAGACCCATTTTGAGTGGGCCGCTTATCTTAGATATCTTATGCGCCTTTTCAACCTTTTTGAAAATTTAAAAAATAGTTATATTCAATGAAGATATATAATATTCTGTACAGTAAATCACAAAATTTTACATAAAAAACTAAAATTCTACGGAATTAGTGGTAAAGTGATAGAATGGTATAAATGTTTCACTAGTTAACAATGAAGCGCTTTTTATCGGATAATTTTTCCAAACTTCTTTTTGATAAAATTGAATTTAAAATGTTTTCAGTCTGTTTAAAAAAATATTCATGTGTTTACAAAAGTGTTTCATGAAAGCATCATGTTGACTATTATTTGAGTAAACTAGTTAAAAGTATTCGAATTCTATATAAGGTCAGATACTACTCTGGTAAAAAAAATCAATCCCACTACCCAGCAGGCACAGATTTCCGTGGGACGTGTATACCACGCCTTATGGATGTCACAAGTCCGTAGGACGTCCTTACGACGTGCCCACTGTGTACTCATTTATTTTGTGCCCGCTGGGTACTCATTTATTCATTTATTCATGCAAATATTTTGTAGGGAACAGTAAAGAATCCAGGGGGGGGGATGATGGGATGTGTGCATCCCCCATCCCCCACCAGAATTTAATTTTTTTTTTTTTTAGTTTTGTTAGCTAAATATCATAACACACACACCCTCTATCCCCCTATCCCTATCTATGAAAAAAATTGATCCGTCGCTGGTGGAAGTACCACTAAAAGTAGGTTTCACATCTTTACCATTGTCAGAAACATGCAATACGTATAATACATTTTGAAAATCATCTTTTGCATTCAAAAAATTTATTTAAAGATATAAAAGTCCAAAATGTTTACAAACTCAATGTCTTAATATATTATATTTTATATTTCTCAAGCAAAGTTCAATAAATTTTTCACTATATATGGAATAAAATTTATCTTCCTAATTTTAATATAATCTCGTTTTTCATTTTTAAAAGTAGTTTTAAAAACTATATTTCAAATGTTTAAAAAATTTGATATGTTTTTAGATACACATTTAGATTATTTTGAGATGGAGTACTATTTTTAGTCTATGTCTATTTTGATTGTTTTTAATTAGTATTTTTTAAAACAATTTTTTGTGTTTATTATGTATTTTACATGGCTCTGACATAAGTCGAAATTTTTTTATATTTTAGCTTGTATATTGTTATATTGCCGTATTACGATTAATGATTAAAAAAATACGATTAATCGTTGTAATACGATTAGTGATGCTATTAAAACTAAAAACTCTAATAAATTAATAATAAACGACAAAAAGTAGTATGATTACATATAACCAAGTGATCGCGTCTCATTTTTTAATTACTTACATAAGCTGTTTTAAAGTTAAAATACGTGTGTGTGTGTGTGTGTGTGTGTGTGTGTGTGTGTGTGTGTGTGTGTGTGTGTGTGTGTGTGTGTGTGTGTGTGTATATATATATATATATATATATAAATATATATATATATATATATATATATATATATATATATATATATATATATATATATATATATATATATATATATATATATATATATATATATATATGTATGTATGTATATATATATGTGTATAAATATATAATTATTATATATATATATATATATATATATATATATATATATATATATATATATATATATATATATATATATATATTTATATATATCAACCCTCAGAATTAGAAAAAATGAGGTCGGTAATATTTGCCGACCTCAAGCCAAATGCCGACCCTAATTCCGAGGGTTGTATATATATATATATATATATATATATATATATATATATATATATATATATATATATATATATATATATATATATATATATATATATATATATATATATATATAATAAAATTATTTGATATCTTATTAGCTCTTCAATCGTCTAGCCTTTAACATTCCTAAAGAAGAAATAGATGCTACAATTCATTGTAAATCCGGTGCTGCAGTGTTGCTTCTTCAAAGAATATACATGACTCTAACCCAACGAAGGTTTAATAGTTTTTGTAAATTTTTTACTTTTCCTATAAAGATAAAATGAAATAAATGAATTTAGAAAAGTATATTTCAGAAGCGTTTTGCTATGATTGAACTTAATACTTTGAGTTATGACAACGCATTAGCTATAAAGATAATTCTCTAATCTCATCTGTATTATGTAGATATTTTGATTTACTGTTCGAATACGATGTATCAGTTGAAAGGCTTTGATGCAGTAATTGGATAGTCAAAAAAAATCTAAATCAAACAATTCTAAAAAAAGACATTAAATAGCTAACTTTTGATATGTAAACTTGTTGAAGAAACTGAAGTCAAGACTTTAATTTTCTTAATAAAATTTATAACTTTTTTATAACTTTGCCAAATCTTATTTAAATGTAATTTGGTATCAAAAAGCTTTACTTTCGTTTTTATTTTTTGACCTTTTGAAAAGAAATATCTTTTATATTGTTGAATCAAGATGTACTGCATTCCATTAAGACAAGCAAGTCATGGCAATAAGCTGGTGATCAATAAAGCATAAAGTTGTATATGCTTTATTGGTCACCATAAGCTGGTGATCAATAAAGCATAAAGTTGATTCTAAAGTATTTGGAAGAAGACATTTTTTAAAATAATTGATCGTTCTTTAAATCAGTGCGACTGGATTAGTTTTCCAACCGTTGATTGTTTCCAAAATATCTTTTACTACCTGGTTCCTAGTGATATGATCAAAATTAGCATTCTTAAATGATGCATAAAACTATTAATGGTCTAATGAGAAGTTTTCCAAATATAACATTTCCAAATACACACATTTGTTTTATAGCTGCATTACAAAATGCAGTGTGCAGAACTGCTTATAAACTAGCAAATTGTTCCAATGGCCAGAAAATAAAAAATCATCAAATGTTTCATAAAAATAAAACAAGTATGGAAAAATATGTGAAGACGGTTTTTTTTTTTATATTTTGGAATGATACATCTTGATAGGTTTTTTTATATAAGTCTTTTTGAATTAAGTTTAATATTTTTAAACTTCAAGTTATTTATAGTTTTGACTACGATACAATTATTTCCAAATAATTTTACCTTCATTTACTAGGTTTGTTATTCTGTTTATGTTCCAATAAATTTACCTGAAATTTATTGAATGGGTAAGTTTTAAAATTTTAGAGAAATCTTGTATTCAATCAATGATAAAAATTTAGAGGTAGGCTAGGGTATGCTGCCCTCTCTGGTATACTTTATGATATACTTTATGTCATAAATCAATTTTTTTTACACTTTCTTTTTACTTTTAACACAAACCTTTATTAATAAAAAAAGATATTTGTAACTACTTCATTACGCATTTAAATAAAAAAAAGCCATTATTTGTAACATCATATAATGGGGCATTCTGCCTCTGCCATGTAGCAAGATGTTTCTATATGTTGCTATAGAAAGCTATAAATGATTTTTTATGCCGCTCAGCCTACTTTTTCTATGATACAGCTCACAGGCTCAAAAAGATTAACAATTTACAAACTACATTTACCATTAAAATAGATAAACGTGATTAGATAGTAAAATAGATAAACAAAACAAATATTTGTTTACATTAATTGTACAAAACATATACTCGTTTACTTTAATTGTACAAAAATTGGTAATAACATTTATTTCTGCTACTTTTAGTAACAAAATTATTTAAAAATCAATTAAAACCGCAATACCAATATTCAAAACATTTTTGGCTCTTTTAACATTATTTTAACATTATTGATAATAAAAATTAAAGAAATGGAAGAATACTTTTCTAGCTCACAAAAATGCAGAAGGTTTTTTACCTCTCAAAAGGGCATCTTGCACCATTCTACCCTACCTTAATTTTAGAAATTTTCATGTAAATTTACTAGTAATTATCTAATCTCAATGGTTAAACTTCGAAATAGATGTAACATTCAATGGATATTATCAATGAAGTACTTTTGAACTGAACGAGTGCTTATTTTAGCCTTATCTATACACCAATATGTTCTTTTAAAAATGGAAATTGCTTCTTCGTTCAAAACCTCTAACAAAACCTCTAGAATCAAAAAATGATTTCTAAGTAAAAATACGAGTGAAAAATGTTTTTATTGTACTTTTTGGTGGTGGTGTCCAAGAAAATCAGGTTTCTCTGTTTGCAGAAGCGTAGCTAGTGGTGCAGTGGTAAGAATACTGACTTCGTAAAAAAATGTCATTCTGATGCTCATTACGGCCATAAAAATGACATTATTGAGGAACGCAGCAGGAAACTTTCTATTTAATTTTTTTTAATAAGGTTTAAAAAAATTTCTTACTGAAAGTTAATTAAAAAAAAAAAAAATTTAACCATTAATGCATATTGGTTTACAGTGTGCCAGCATTTGTTGAATCTGATATTGACTTCTCCGACAATGGTTATCAACAAAAGCTTCCTTTTCATGCTCGATGCACAGCAACAAAGGTATTGATGATTTCTTACGAGCAGTAGCTTTAGTTATTGTGTGGGATTAGTTAGATATTTCTTATGAGTGGTTGCCTAAATTATTGTGTTGAATTTGTTAGTGCATTTTCTTTTTTTTTGGAGAGAGCAAAGCAGACACGCTAAAAAGGCTTGAAGGTAGGTTTAAAAACAAAAAAATAAAATTAACTTATAAATAAAGAGTTCGATAAACTTTTCTGTGCTACAAATCTTTTATAATATTGTTTAATGCATTTTTTGATGATATTTGTTTTGCACAAACGAAGTAAGAAACAAAACAAATTTTAAACCATAAACTTTATGTATATTTAATGTGAAGTAACATGGATACATCTTCGCAATATATATTTTTTGCTGTGACAAAAAAAGTTGGTATGTAATATTTCTATGTGTTTACCAATGATATTTTTGATTTATTTAAACTGATAAAAATATTTTATGTAATATTATTGGTAGATATTTTTGTTGTTAGAGTTCAACTGTCAATGTTATACAATGTTAAGCAACAGCGAATAATTTTTTCATTAACCGAAAAGCGAATAGTAATTCTGTAAACGTCAGTACCAAAGTTAACAGATTTACTATTAAGTTCGTCTTTGGTCTAAAATTGTACTAATACGAATCCGAACATTACAATTTGTTTAAAGAAATACAAAAATATATCAACATCCCCCCCTCCCCCACCGAAAATTCCTGGATCCGTCACTGACACTCGACGATGTACCAACCTACTGTTTTGTTTTTTTTTGTTTTTTTTTTAATAAAACTATAAAAAAAAATTATAAAATAGCGCTGAAAGCTTAACAAAAATTTAAAAGATTTATTTATTTAAAAGATATGAGCTTTGCTTCAGTTTTGAATTGTCTACTTAAAGATATAAAAAAAAAGTTACTTTATATTCAAAAAACTGTTTACCTAATAAGGGGGCATTTATTAAGTACGCACGCACCTTTTGCTTTCAAACCCCCCTTCCCCGTCATTCCTTCATCCTTTTTTCCCTGCGCACGTACCTTTTATTACAAATTAACCAATTCCCCTTTCCCCAACTTTTAGTTAATTCGACATTTCTCAATTACATAACGTAATATTAAGCTCGTAAAATTTAATGCTTTTGTTAAAAAAAAGAAATCGAGTTTTAGGAGAGATAAAGAACAAGAGATAGTCAAACTGCGTACGTACTTGCTGTTTTTAAACCCCTCTTATACGCATTCGTACGTTTTCGGGTAACTCTCCTTCCACTCATATCTGCGTACGCATTTAATGGAATACCCCTAAATGTTTAAACATACAAAACTATTACGCTCTACGACACAATGACTCAATATCTAATTCCAAGGAAGTCTCGGGAACTTTTTCTTTTGCTGAGCTTTTTTTTTTTTTTTAATGTTTAGCTTAATTTCTTAAACAACGAGAAAAGTTTGAACATCTTCAGGTTCTAATGTTTTGATTATGTTGGATAACACTGGTGAGAATCTTTTTTCTCATCAATGAGAGTAAATGTCTTTTCTCACCAGTGAAAATAAATGTTTTTCTCACTAATCTTATCTATCATCATCGAATGTAGATTTTAACTTTCTGCAACAAATGTCAGGCCTCGGATATTATTAGTGACATTTGATCTATAAGTAGCTTTCTTTTTTAAATTTTAGATCTGTTTTATTTAGCCGGTGTAATTCGATTTAATCGTGCACGAAGTTCATCAAATGATGCGTGTACGAAGTTTATCAAATGATGAACTTTGTGCACGATTAAATGTAATAGCATCTTTATTATTTATCTTTTTTCGTAATTTTTCTCATGTTGTGTGTATAAAAGATGTCTCAAAAGTACCGCTTCTAGTTGCTTTGAGTCAAAACGTTTTGTATTTCACCGGAACTTGTGACTGTACTGGCACTAAGCTTATATTGATAATAGCTTGGATAGCGGGTGTAACCTCAATTTGATTTTTATTATTTGCTTCGCTTATGGTTACGCCTAATGACAGAGATTTTGCCGTTGACAATTTCTCACTGTTTTTTTTTTTTTTTTTTTAAAGTTTCAAAAGCTGTTACAGCATTGCTCCAATTGAATGCCCCACTGTCTGTAACCAATTTCACCCATTGTGAAAAAGTTGCATTTTTTTGTTGTATCAAAATAGTTTTTCAAACAGTTTCTCCAACATTGACTATCTTGAAAACACCTACATACAAAGGCTGTAAAGTACAATTTGTATAGACATGTAAACCAAGTGACTCAATTTGCTTTGCAACAATTGTTGCAACGTCAGAACTCTAACGTTACAAAACAAACCAAAAAGACGTTAAAGTTTTTAGTCTCCGTATTTAAATTGCCGGCAATTTGAAATTATTTCATATCTTTTATTAAGCAAGTTCACTCCTCTGCATGATAATATTTGAAATTTCTAGCGGAGACAAATGTTACAAACTTTTGATGCTTGGTTGTAGGGCCTACATCGCGCTATTATTTTCCATGTAATCAGAGGTTTTATATTTTTTAATTTTAGTCTTCATATTTCTTTAGACAGTTCTGTGTCATTTTTATATTTGAATGCACTGAAAGATTTATGGTTGGCATATCTTAACATAAATGTGGTTTCACTTATACCGAAATAAACTTTATCTTGAATTCAGATCGTCTCTGTGTTATTGACGACACTTTAGACTTCGAAATTTGATTGTTAGTTTTTAAATAGTCATATTAGCTAACGACGATAATTTAAATAGAACTCGGTGATAAAACAGTTCTTCATCTATCCAGCTATTTATTTTATATCTCATTGTAATTATTATTATACTGCAAAGAAAATCAAAAAAAAAAAAAAAAAAAAACCACATCGTTTGTAATTGCCCGCGGATAATTGCAAACGAACCTATTGATATTGTTTTAACATATACAAAATATAATACGCGTAAAAATGATATTTTGCAACAACAAAAAAAATGGTTTTGTATGCATAGTAGCTACTACTTAAACGTTTCTCAAGCAAAAAACTTCATGAAATAATGATAAAAAATTTTGTAATCAATTTATCGTAAAGAACCCACACAGCTTTACTACACTATACACCTGAATTACTAAAAATTTATAATTTTTATTTAAATCTTTAGAACCAGTGGCTTTTGTTCATTAGTATTCGATGATTTCTTTCTCAATATTTTTGCTACAAATATAATTTTTTTCCATTATTTTAGATGAACACTCACTACAACTAAATATAAAACTACTAATCAGACAGCAACAGAACCTAAAGTAATCTGCAACGCAATAAATCATTATTTTTAACCAGTTTTTGAAGCCGAGTCACAGTGCCTTTCTCAATAATTAGCTCTTGCTTCATTAGCATTCACTAACCGTACACATTTACATTATACGAATCCGTCGAAGCAAAGCATTTGTACCTGATTAAATCCAAATCAATGGAATTCGATGGCATTCACTCCAAGTTAAGTACTGATTGGCAAGTTTAGCTATCCTACTCATCACTATGTTCTCTAAATCGCTTGAGGCTGGTGAAGTACTGTATCAACAAAGAAAAGCTGAAATCACCCCCATTCTCAATAAAAGCTGCAAGTTGAACCGTTAGATTATCGACCAATATTTTTTTTATTGTTCTCTCGCAGCCCGTTTATTGCGGATACCAATGTGCATTACATCTTTATTTACCAAATACAATAATTTTCCGCATAGCATTTAAAATCATTTAGCGAGTACGTGACACAACGATAAGTAACATGATGCTGCATCATTCTTAATTATCTATCTATCTATATATATATATATATATATATATATATATATATATATATATATATATATATATATATATATATATATATATATATATATATATATATATATATATATATAGATATAGATATATAGATATATATATATATATATATAGATATATAGATATATAGATATAGACTTTGGCTGGAAACGCACGTTAAATTAGGAAGGTCCCAGAAAGAGCTGATAGAAATATTCAAATTTTTTTCCAATGCGCATCTAGTCATTAATGATTTCATTTGTGCAATGGCTGTAATGCACTCGTTATAATCAAAGCTATCATCAAGTTTTTCTAGAAAGTACAAATCAGAGGTCATTAATTTTTAATGTGCAATTTTTTTATGAAACGCAATGGTCCGCGAAGTATAAAAGCATATGTTGTTTTAGTAAATATTTTGAGGAAATTTGCAATCAATTACAAAGTTTGACAATTAACAACTTTGGTAAAACGTAACGAAATTTCCAGTTACTGTATTCTTCCACTTTACCAACTTTTGTTGTAAGTCTTGTTTATCTTGTATGTCTTATCCTTTACATATTCAGCAGTATTGATACCCATTACTTAGTCGTTGCAAGTAATACAATTGAATTTACTAAGTGCTCAGAAACTAATCATCACGTTAAATCTGTTAGTTCTGCTAAATTCAAAAGTAGCGTGATTGTTATTAGCCGTGTGTACAGTATTGATAATTTCAATCTTGTGGCGGTAAATTGATTTGATTTTTGGTGCACACTTATTAATTTGTTTTCAAGCTCAAATTTTTGCCTAGCTCTTCTTGTTTTACTTAAAACATGTTTGTAGAGCGTTTATCACAATACTGTAAACACCAACAAGACTAAATTATATGCAGAAAGTTATTGATATTTTTGTGTAGGATCTACGCCGACAGCTGTTTCTTTTCAAAGACATTTAAGAATATTTTCACTTTTGCAGCTCTGCAACTGTATGTTATTCTGTTAATAGCTTTAAAAACTCTTTAAAGTTGTATTTTAATTGAATATTAATTTATAATACTTAAACATGTATCAATTATTTTTCTTCTGATGTATTTGGTATTACAACGTTTAGCAAAAAGCGCACTGATTGGTATCTGAAAAGTTGAAACACCTAGTGACACCCCCCTCCCTCTAACAAAAAATGGTTGCAATGCAAATTTTGATAAAAATACCTGCCACTGTATCGAGTGGAGAAA